ACTGACGGTGTAATTAAAGCCCCTTTTGGCGCGTTTCCTTATCCATATACTCTATTATTTACTTTTCCTTCATTCATTTATAAAGTTTAAATATAAATATTAATGTGTATATATTGTGACCGCCTTAAAAAAATATTCCAAGTCCCTTTCATTCTAGTCTTTCCCCTTCACCGTTTTGAACGGCCTTACCCCATTGATTTGCAGATTAACACACACATAACCACTCCTTCTTCTTCCTCTTTTGCCGGAAATAATTTTTCATCTCGATCAGGTTTTTGAGGTGGGTTTTGTTTGATTATTTCGTGCATACTGAAAAAGCCCTCTGTGTGTGTGTGTGTTCTTTTTTCCTCCTTTTTTTTTTTTAATAATTATGAATGGGCTCATTGCTTTGCTCATACCAGCCCAAAATACTAACGTGGTTTGGGTTTTAACTAAACTAGATTCTCCTCTGTTTTTGGGATTGAAATTGTTATTCGATTGGACATTTTCAGTCTGTTATTGATTGACAGAGTTTAATCTACATTGATTTTTCAATTCACTTTTGGAAATATTTCGTTTGAATGTGTATTAGAGTTGGTAGATTTTTCAATAACATTTGCTGGTGTACTGTTTGATGATATGCAGGTGAGTAAAATAACAAAAATGGGAAATGAAATGGGTCCTCCATGGTTGAAGCCAATGCTGAAAACTGATTATTTCTTTCCCTGTCCGTTTCATTCGGATTCAAATAAAAGTGAATGCAATATGTATTGCTTGGATTGCTTGGGAAATGGAATTTGCTCTTACTGTTTGATCCATCACAAGGGCCATCACGTTCTTCAGGTGACACTATTTGCATCGAATAATTGCTCATTCTTGAGCTTCGTTCTGATAGATTGTATTGTTGATCGGATTGTTCATGAAATTGTAGATAAGGAGATCTTCATATCATAATGCGGTAAGGATTAATGAAATTCAGAAGTACATAGACATTTCTAGCATACAACCGTACGTTATAAATGGTGCCAAGATTCTGTTCTTGAATGAGCGGCCGCAGCCAAAACCCGGAAAGGGAGTTACATACACTTGTGAAATTTGCGCACGTAGCCTCCCCGACTCCTTCCGGTTCTGTTCCCTTGGTTGCAAGGTATATTGTTAAATTCATAGTCGGGATGAGTTCTTTTTCGCCACTCTGTTAGTCTAACTGGTCTCGATTATGTAATATGACAGTTGAATGGCATTAAGAGGGGCGACCCAGAGCTCACATTTTCACACAAAAGAGGAGCATTTGATGGGATGGATTCAGATTATGAGCCATCAACTCCAAAGAAGACTGCATTTTTCTCTGATTTCGGCTTCAGCCGCCCCTCGGGTTCTGTTAGTTCGGGAGACGATAATATCAACAGTATGTCTCCTGATACACCACCTTTGTTCAATCGCCACAGAAGAAAGGGCATTCCTCATCGTGCCCCTTTCTGATATCCCAAATCATCATCCAAGTAAAGGGTATAATTGATACTTGTTGCTGCAAAATCTGATAAATGACTGTATATATGTTAGTGTGAGTACATTTTCTAGATGAAAAATGCATAGGATGATAAATATATAGTTGGGTTTCTACTTTCTTGTGTACATATATATTACACACGCCTTGTATTGAACTTATACTTTAGACAAAATTAATCAAAGGTTTGTTACAGCTTTAGTACTTCTGAATCCTATTTTAAGAATCTTGTATTGGATGTTGGTGCCACGGAGTTGTTGGATCTTGGGCAAGGACGAAATCAGGAATTTGGGTGAGTTAGGACGATTGTTGACTGTCAATGAACGCAATAACTAGATTTTTTATTGAATACCTTAGAATGGGATTAGTTAATGAATAAAGATGGTGGTGAATCTTGGCATAGGCGAGCGTCAGTTGAGCACACACAATTGCTTGAGCAGCCGTCGAGGGGTAGCTATTCATTTTTTTCTATAAAGCCCGCGCGGAGGCCGTCCTGGTTCGCCTGTGTTGGCTTTGTCCCTGATCTTGGGTGACGTGGCTTAGCAACGCCCGTTTATGCGTAAATGGAATCAACGGGCCACAATTAGTGATCATAAAAACTTAAAAAGTGATCATCAATTGTGGAGTGTGGGCTCCACTACCACTAGAATATTGTTGATGAATAGCCTTTCTTGGATCTCTATGAATAGCATTTCTTGAATTTCTATAAACAAAAAAGATGGTAATGTGACGAAAATCAAGCAATGGACAACTTGACATGTAATAAAGAGGATTAATTACCCAAATAGTCACTGAACTTTACCGAAAGTTTCTACCAGGTCACTGAACTTTAAAAACTATTTGATTAGTCACTGAACTTTTGAAATTGCAACCACATCCATCACTGAACTTTAAAAATCACCTCATTAGTCACTGAACTTTGTAAAAGATTTTTACCGAGTCACTGAATTTTGTAAAACGTTTCCCAGATGGTCCTAATTCAGTGACCAATTGGAAAACTTTTTACAAAGTTCAGTGATGAATGAAGTGATTTTTAAAGTTCAGCGATGGATGGGGTTGCAGTTTCAAAG